GAGCGAGGCAGGAACTGATCTTTTCCATACACCATCACTCATAGTCCTGACAGGCCAGCAAAGTTCCCCACACAAGGCCTGGAGTTCAAAGCCTCCCATTTGCCAGCAGAGCGGGGGTGTACGGGTGAACCCTGTGCCCACTGACAGAATTCACCCTCAAGATGTTCTCAGTTGAATGTTCTTCTGACGTTGGGAGACTTTTTCTTATAGTCTTCCTCAAGTCCACTGGTGAGATCCTACCAATGACGCTTTCTGAGACACTCAGCGTGATTACATGGATTCGAATAACTGGCTTAGTCGGACTGAAATTGAATCATCCGTTTTGTGTAAACACCTTTGTCCGACTATGTGCGGTCCGACTACGATCCGACTAACACCCCTGGATAACTCGATCCAATCCAGTTGATAGTTCGACTATTGCGGCATGTAACGGGGAATCGGATGAGGAACTGGAGTTTGCGTCTTTGCGCATGCTTGAGACGACAACCTCTTCTCTCCGTTATCAAATCAGCCAATAGCGCCATTCGCATTCGCGGTACTCCTATTAACATCATGCACACAGAGTAGAGGGATGTAGCTTCACCTTGCTCTCCGTTCGCCATCTTTCTCGTAATGCCGATGTTGTTGTTGGTTGTTGTTGGTAGTGGTGAAGCGGTCAAGCGGAAATGTATGTAGGCGGTATCACAACTAGTTGTAATGAAAACAGCGCCACCTATCCTATCGGATATGACGTGCTTTCGGCCAATGATTCGATTTATTCACTGCCATGTATATTGGGATAATAGCATTTTCCCCGAAAGTTAGCATAGTCCGACTAAGCAAAGATTCGAATTATACCATCATGTAAACAGCCTCTCTTCTCATCAAAGTCACTGCTTTGGGAGTGCAGAACTTTTCGCCATAAGACTTATAACTATGAATCCTTTTAATTTGCACCAACTAATGATTGTCTTCGTCGTTGGATTTGTATAAAGGACGGGCAAATAACAGCCTCTGAGCTACTTAAAAAACCCCATCTCACAACGTGCTGCTACGAGGGCTTGCAGTCAGATTGTTAAATCCTAATGAACTGTATTCACGAGAGAGGTTTTACGGCCCCTCTTAAAATGTATATTAGGACGTGTCGCCGATGTTGGGCAGGCTTGGTCAGATCCGAATGACTCAATTAGATGCAGTGAGCAGGAGCCTCAGTATTTGATGGATTACATCAAAGCCTCTTCATTTTCACGCGTTACCGGCGGCAACAGCCATAGCCCGCAACACTGTGCGTTCAGGCCGCCTCTCATCACGACCCACGAACGCCTCCATGTAACAATCTTTCAGATTTGAGGAGGAACTGATTTAAAATTTTCGTGAACTCGAAATCTGTAGAATGCCTCGGGGGAATTCGATCAGGTTTGGCGCAAACATCCACCCGGACCGGACGATGGAAGGATTTGAAATGGTCTGTCAAAAGGTCACTGTGACCTCCCCGAAACATCTCACGTTCATTGTGACCATTCCACACAATGTTGTACAGACTGTTTGACTGGTGGCTTGAGGCATACAATCACAAAGCGTGTCATTTCATTTCTTTCCATACCTTTGTAGATCTGTTAGTTAGTTACATATTACTATTTAGCTCAAACTACTTGAAATTGAGACGTGAGACGTTTTGACACCTCCTGACCAACCTCTTAGCTGAACATGATGATGTCGTACATTGTTGGTTATGCATTCTGACTTCTAACCCCAGCGTTCTATGTTCTAAAAGCACCTTCGTGGTCTTTTGCTGTGGTTCATCTTGCTTGCAATTCCTCTTGCTATGCAATATTAATCATGACCCAGTTTCCGTTCAACCTCACAACCTTGTGGTGTTTACTTGACCATGATTTTATGAGTTTGAAATCTACACACACACACACACACACACATGCACATGCACACCATTTAAAAAGGAGCGCTGCCCCAACATGACACCGTATTGACATCTGAGAACTGCAGATGCATCTTGAAGAAAGTCACGACATTTCCTGTTAAAAAAAGCTTTTCAGATGTCAATACGGTGTCATGTTGGGGCAGCGCTTCTTTTTAAATGGTGTGCATGTGCATGTGTGTGTGTGTGTGTGTGTGTGTAGATTTCAAACTCATAAAATCATGGTCAGTTTAGAGAAAAGAGCAGTCAATTCTACTTAATCCGTCTTTGAAGCTGTGTCCACTATGTGCGTATGACCCGTGCTGCGGTTCATGGCACATGCCCAGAGCGTTAGACACGCCTCATGTACTGTGTAATATAGTTGTGACCGACTTCGCACCAGGATGCGCTTGGATGCACTCTATATGATAGCTATCCAGTTGGTGCAAATATAGCACAGGCATGTGATCCCCTGCCAGACTAATGCTACTGAAATCCAAGTTGACTCATCAGCATGTTCACAGGGCGATCGGAGCCTCGCTCTTACTGTTTAGAAAACACGCTCACATTCTCCTCACAAGGCTAATGGATTAAACATGCAGCATAAAGGTTGGCTTATAGTTGAAAATATGTTGCATTAATGCCACAAATTGTACAATTTTTTAGCAATTGAGTATAGTACATCTATGAGGTTGTGAATGTCCAACAGAGCACGTCTCCCCACGTCTCCCTAGCTTGAGGTTTTGTCCGTTCACGCACGTCACACAAAGTCTTCACAGGGTGGATGAAACTCTGTAGTTGTTACATTATCTCCCCGACAATTAAATTGAAATACCGCCTGGGAGAATCATATTGCCGTTGACAACTTGATACCTGCCAGATTCCTGGCTTTGAACAAAACAACAGCATGGGGACAGTGAAACCTGTTTTTTGAGAACCCAAATGACATTATTAGCTCTGGCAGGAGGGCATCACATGGCCGCCCATCAACAGGCTTTTTTCTTGTTGGCCCTGTTCTCCCTCGCAGGGAGCCACCTCGCTGCTTTTTTTCTTCTTTCTTTTTTCTGCCCGCGTCGGAGGGCCCTCCCGCTAATTAGAGACTTTGCCAGTGGAATTTCACTGCGACAAAGGAAGCTATTCATGTCGGCAGGACGATGAGAAGGCCTCACTGGCAGCGGGCGATAGCCTTGCTCAGAAGAGTTATCGAAAGGAAGACACTTCACCTTGAAGGTCCTGTGCTGCCAAAGACAGCCGAGCGCTCAGCCTTCAGCCCCCTCCGTCACTGCGTCCTTCTGTCGCTCCGTCCCTCCGTCCCTCCATTGCTGCGTCCTTCCGTCCCTCCGTCGCTGCGTCCTTCTGTCGCTCCGTCCCTCCGTTGCTGCATCCTTCCGTCCCTCCGTCCCTTCGTCGCTGCGTTGCTTCTGTTTTTGTTTTTTTTGTCGTCCTGTGCTTCATTGTGCGAGGTCGGATCTGAGTTTCTCCCTCCTGTCACAGGCTGTCAGCAAAGGTTTGACCTTCGTCTTAACTTTGTTGTCTTCACAGTGATTCGATCTGGCGTCTCTGTGACATATTCATTCAATTCCCTGTTTGTTTTACATAAAGACGTCCGCCATTTCTCAATCCCCCGGCCCGGCTGCATCTGTGTGAAACCAGAGGGCAACATCTCCACATCAGATCAATATCAGGGTACAGGGCGAACTATCGCGGGGAGAGGTACTGCAGTACTGATATCGGGCCTTTCATCACAAAATATGTTAATTCGATTTTTTTCCTGCTTAGCCTATAACCAACGTCTTCGACCCATGAAACTATCCATTCATCTCCATATGACGCACCCATCTGACTCAGCCGATACCGGCGTTTAATTAGCCCTGCATGCCTGCCTGTGTTGGTGTGACATTCATCATCTTCATCAATCAGGGTCATTCGTCTGTGTGTTATGGGAGCCTCAGGTCTGCCTTAAACATTTGTTTCATCATTTTTCCCGACCAAGTGTAACACATAAATACGTAGATAAACGTTCATAAAATGTTTTATTATCAGCCACTGGGTAGATTACGGATCGGCCCCAAAGTATCCGTCCAATATCAAATATCAGCATCTCTCTCGCCTCCCTCTGTGCAGCAGTTCTTCAGGGAAAAAAACAGATTCTTTATGCTCTTTAGGCCAAAGGGGAATTCCCCTCACATGGAATGTGCAGTGAAACACGCCGGTCACATGTCCCACACATGCCGCCAAGAGTACGCGACCACCACGGGACACATTTACGTCGTCTCCCAGGACGCAACCCGAGCGGATACGTAAATGAAAATGTGATATTCCATTATTTTATTAAATAACACGGCACAGGCACGTCCCAATTTCACAACATCAGCTCAAATTCCTTCCCCCCGCCCCCACTTGGCATAGCAGCGCGGTTATGTGATCAGAATATTTCGTCCTCATGATGAGGAGCTCACCAGATAATAGACGTGTTGTGAGTTGCAGCGAATGTGGATCAATAGAGAGCCAAAAAAAGTGTAGAACTTTGTGCTGGAACAACATTATCATTCTTCATATTAGCAGTTGGTTATCGTTTTGGTTTGAGCTCAGATAAAATCAGCAGTTATGTATAAATCCTGTGGGCAAGAGGGCAACCTTGCCGTTGATGCTTCAGGGAAAGGATTGAAGTTACCACTGTGTGGAGGCAATAAACCGTCAAGAAAAAGGTTTCCTAAGACCACACATGTTGTTTTCACACCCTTAGCGTGAGCGTGACGCAGGCCCACAGATAAACGTTTGGCTTTCGTCTCTGACTGCGAGGTAAACGGGCCCGAGGCTCCTGAGTTTTTCACAGAGGCGAGGGAATAGACAGAAGAGGGAGAGGAATAGAAGATCGCAAAACAGGGGAGTGAAGTGGAACCACCAAAGATCGTCAGACAGGAGAAAATCAGAGAAATTAGGGGGAGAGGAATAACAGACAGAAACGGAACAAGAAGTAAGCGTGAGGACGGTCTCCGTCTCTGAAAGGGGGCAGGTGTCCTTGCTGCCCTTTTGTACTGTAGGCCCCTGTTTGTTTGTGTAAGCTGCCCACCCACCCTAACGATCCTCTGTCTATTCCTCACAGGGCGGAGGCGACCACCAGACGCAGGAGGCCCGGGGAGGTTGTGCGCTATGACTGGTAGGACACGTGGTGGGTGGATGTCTGCGGATTACGGAAGTGTGCACAGGGATTTGATTAGCTGAGGTTAAACGACTAAAGTACCGCTGCAACTTATGAATGCAAGTAAAAGTCCGGATTTAAATATAGTACAAATACATATTGATGAATGTACAGGTTTGCCCCCTCTGGCTGATATAAATATGTTGTTATATTTATATTTACATCACTGGATTAGTAATACTGACGATAAAATGCGCGTTCAGCGTGTGAGTGTCATTAATTGTTTAATTTACAACACCAAAAGTTTCTCCAATCTTTGAATTACTACTATTAGACAATGGTACTAACAGTAATTTAATGTATTAAATATAATCATGTGATGTAAAACTGAACATTCTGTGAAACTCGTAAGATCAGAAATGTGACCCCAACCACAAACCGCTGTTTTTGTGGGAACAAAAGCTTGGAAACCTCCGCCTTAGTTGTTTAAAATGTGTTGTATCTTTAAGCTTGATATATTATGTATTGTGAATAATATTTACCTGAAAAATGTCTTAGAGTGGAGGACATAAATCCTTCATGTGAAAGGTGTGAAAGGAATTAATGTCTATCAATGACAAACCTGGGCATAAGAGATCTGTCAGTGAAGGAAATTGAGATGCAGGGGCATCACAGGCCGGAAGAATGACACTCTTCTGTAAATCACGTTTCCTACCGTTGCACAATGCGTCTTCAGCAATCAACCTTTTGTGAATGGCGCCTTCTCCTCTCATCTCGCCGCACAGCTGGAGCCACCAGGGACGAGCGTAATTGTGGTCTGATCGCGCTCTAAGTCCCTGCAGCATCAGGGGAGCAGCAGATCCTTCATAGCACGACCAGACAGGAGAGCTTGGACAGATGTTTTGGCGAGGAAGGCCTTAATGACGGGAGATCACATCGGGCCAAAAGGGACCAGTGTCAGTCACGGGTTATGTTACGGGTCGGGTATTTTTTTTCCAATTGTCATGATACGGTGTGGGGGGGGAGGGGTCAAAGGTTTGCTGCAAAGAACACACAATACGTCGATTGACGCACTGGATGAGGAACCAAAGTTTTTCCCGGAAACTTAAAGCCGTTTAGAAACATATGCTGAGGTTACGCCGAACAAGCTGTTCATTGTAAGCCAGTCCCAGAACAAAAGAGAGGGTAGAGCGGGACGTCCCCTCCTTGCATGCGTCTGACACGCAAAGACCACCACCACAACAACAAAGGGCCGGTTGTGTATAAGACGAGCACGTCGCGCTCACTGGGCTGTTAGGGAAAGTGCGTGTGGTAAGTTTGCATACTCAAGTGTTCCTCTTTTTTTTCTTTTTTTTACGGGAAACATTTTGAACAAAACCGAGGAACAGAAGAAATAGTTGGAGTAAGTCCAGAGGAAGAGGAGGTTGTCTGTCTTTGACACTTGCACGCCGCCCCCGTCAACATAATGAATAGAAACATGTCCATGTGCATTCAGGCTCATTTCCAAGTATATAGTCCACATCTCGGCTACTAAGTCCACTTGTTATATAAAGTCTGTGGACCAAACCAAACCGCATAACATTTTGACCTCCAGCACTACTACATCGGTATTATTTGGGGGAAATGTCATTTCAGTTACAAACACTGTTTGTACGTTGCCGTGGTGACCGATGCAACACGTGTGCCAAGTTGGCTCGTGACCCCTTGGGCGCAGCGGGGCGGCCGGCAGTGAAGGAGTCACTGTTGCTATCGTGTAAATATGTCCCTTTGTTATAATTATTTACGCCGTTGTAAATGTTTCACGGCCACACTGTTGACCTCTGACCCCTTTACAGTCAGAACGATTTGTGACCTGATTCAACCGGGGTAAAGGTTGCTTAGTGTAAGCGCATGCTGCGCAATCGATTTCGAATCGATTTTGAATAGAAGAAGCGAGATCGCTGCATTCGGGAGCCGGGGTCCAAACACGGTGTCTGAAATATCGCTATATACGTTGCTATTCAAATATTTTTGAGGGGGAAAAAAAACATTGCAAAAAAAACTGCTGTGGGATATTTTAGAAGGTGGCGCTTAGCCACACAGAGTGCTTTTCTCGAAGCAGGAAGGGGGGTCGGTGCAGACGTTACACTCACATTTTCGGGTTCTGGGGTGGAGGGTGGTGTACAAGCACGCACGCACACACGCACACCCGTGTGTGCACTTGGCAGCTGTGTGTCTGCTGGTTTGGTCGGAGCCAGAGAGGCCAGAGGGAAGGGGGGGGGGGGGGGGGATCAGTCACCCATCTCGGGGCTGGAGGGGAGCATTCTTTAACACCTCGTAAATCTCACCTGGTGCTACAGGACCGCTGCTGACATAGCTGCTGCTGCTGCACACACCCACACACACGCACAAACACCTCATGGACGCATGTACAAACCGTGTAGCATGCACTTTTCCTTTCTTTTTAGTCCTGCTACATGTGTGTGTGTGTGTGTGTGTGTGTGTGTGTGTGTGTGTGTGTGTATAGTGGGTTTAATTGCACACAGGCAGTAAATTATCAGACTGAGAGTCAGAAAAATACCCATGACGAATGTGAGATGCATGTACTGGTAAAATATATTATAACAATGTTTTGTGCTAAGGCTGTGTCTCAAGTGTGCTGTTTTTGACCCTGAAGTGCAAGGAGCAGCATGATACAAAATGTTGTTTTGCAGCTGCGCACTGAGAAGGGAGAGCGGTTAACTCGATCTCGTAACATAGGCCACTAACTGGCGGACCGCGGTCCGGGTCCGGACCCAGAGGCCGTCCCATCCGGACCCGGACCGCCAGCCAAAACAGAAGGTTGTGATTTAAGACCTGACGGCGTTTTTATTTTTTTTTACCCGGCGGCGCGGCGCGGCTTTTGCAGTATTTGCGGTAGTGGTTTAGCGGATGAGGAAACGCACAGACCAATTGCATGCGAGTTAAGCCATCCCACGTGATACCACTCAGCCAATCAAATCTATGCATTCTTGGCGGTAAACATTACGTCTCAAGACAGCGCTGCGCCCGCGCTGAGAGATGAGAAAGTTAGAGAAAGAAAAAGAAAGATAGCGACACATTTAGAAAACAAAGGGAGAGAAACGGATGACTGTGCCGGAGAAAGTTGAGGAAAAGGCGAGTGAGACAGAGAAAGGGAGAGAAACATAAGGAACCAATGTCGCTCTCCAAAAAAAGAAAAGTTGACAGCGAAAATAGAGCATTTAATCCGTTATGGACAGACTCATTTCCCACAGGGAGCACAAAACCAGTGTGTCTTATATGTTCAGAAACCGTGGCACTTATTAAAAGTGACAATGTGAAACGCCATTATGAGACAAAACATAAAGGTTTTGAACAAACATACCCACTCAAATCCGAAGTGAGATCACAGAAAATAAGTGGCCTCACAGCCCAATATGAACAGTCAACCAGGATCCTGAGCCACACGTTCACTGCCCAACAACGTGCTCATGAGTGTTCCCTCAGAGTTGCTTGGATTTTGGGGCAACACAAAAAGCCATTTACTGATGGAGGGCTTGTCAAAGAATGCATGAGTGTCGTCGCTGAAACATTACTTGACGGAAAACCAAAACTTTGAGAGCTTTGTGATAAGATAAAGCAAATACCCATGTCAGCACTATCTGCCACAAAGAAAGGTGAAATATTAACTCAGGATGTGCTAACCCAGCTAGATGAAGCCATACATAAGGCACCATGTGTAGGCTTAGCTGTGGATGAGTCCACTGACATCTGTGACAATGCTCAGCTGTTAGTGTATGTCAGGTTTTTCAACACAGACCAGAAAGCATTCTGTGAAGACCTGTTAGGTGTCACTCCCCTTCAAACCAGTACAAGAGGACAAGATATCTACCTGGCCATTAAGGAGATTAGAGCCAACACAAGTGGTTTCAATCGCCACAGATGGAGCCCCTGTGGGAGAGAAGGAATCAGGAATCAGGAAACATTTATTAGCCAAAATATGTCAAACATACAAGGAATTTGTCTTGGCGGTTAGTGCGCGACAGTAGACAGACAAGACAACAGTGCACAGGTAATAAAATAAAGTGGAATGAAATGCTAATGCAATGGGTTAGTAAGAATAAGGCTAAGGCTATGGGTTAGTATAAAACAGGGGAATAAAGTTAAACAAATTTTAAATATTAAAAAGTTGAAAAATATTAAGCATAAAGTGCACTAACAAACAAGTAAGAGACAAAGTGACAAGAGAGAAAAGAGCTGTAGCAAGACTGAAAGAGGACAATACAGAGCTCATAGCTTACATTGCATCATTCACCAATCTGTCCTCTGTGCCTCCCTGTCAGATGAGCATGCAGAAGTGATGAATACAATGATGAAAATGATCAATTTTCTCAGGGCATCCTCTTCCACCCAGCATCGCATGCTGAGGGAATTCCTCAGAGAAGTTGATGCCAATGCTGATGATCTTTTGCTGCACAATAATGTGAGATGGCTCAGCAAAGGGAAGGTCTTAGCGCGCTTTTGGTCCATCAGGAGGGAAGTAGCATCTTTTTTGGCAGAGCTAAGACATCAGAAGGCAACGCAGTTTTCTTTCTTTTTAGGAAATGAGAAACAGATATAATGTGGCCTTTTTGGTTGATATCACTGCACATCTGAATGAACTGAATTTGAGGCTACGGGGCAAGAACAATTCAATTTGTGAACTGATGACCGCTGTCCGCTCCTTTCAAAAGAAACTTGAGTTGTTGTGCACACTGTGCACACTTCCCAGCAGTGCGGGAACAGGTACAGGGACAGAGAGATGTGTCTTATTTTGTTGACTTCATTGATAAGCTGATCATAAACTTCAGCAACCGTTTTGACAGCTTCAGCTTTGAACAGCAGCTCACCATGTTCATTCTGAACCTATTTATCATCACGGATGTCAGGGGGTTCTCAGAGGAAGTCACACAGCACTTTAAATGGGTAAATCCTCGGTCTCTCCAGATGCAACTGGTTGATCTCCAAGCAGATGTGTCCCCGAGAGAGCAGTTTCTAAGAACTGACCCTTC